GGGGAAGGGGGCAGGGACGGCGGGCGGTGTAGCTGTCAGTGCGAGGCCTCCGCGACTACGTGCCCACCTGATCCGAGAGGAGGAGGAGGAGGAGGAGGAGGAGGAGGAGGAGGAGGAAGCGGAGGAGGAGGAGGAGGAGGAGGAGGAGGCAAGAGGAGGAGGAGGACGACGGGGAGGAGGGGGAGGAGGAGGAAGTGGAGGAGCAGGAGGAGGATGGAGGCGCAGGCGCGCGGCAAGCTACACCGAGGGGCGACTGAGGCAGGGAGTGGGGCGCTCTTGCAGGGACCTGGGCCGACAATCTGGCATCGTGTTGCCTGGCCACTGCAGCGAGAAGAGGGGGGGTTGGGATTGCGCGGCTCACTGTCGGTGGCGAGCCGGAAGGGGGGAATGAGAAGGGGCGGGCCTTCTCAGAGGGCTCGAAAGTCTCCTGGCCTTCTGAGAAGTTTCCTAAGCCTTCATCGAGGACACAGAAAATTCTCTGAAGGCGCGGGGGCTTCTCAGAAGCCCCGCCGTCTTCTGAGAAGGCTTTCTCCTTCTCATTTCCCCCCCTCGCTCGCCTCCGACATTAGGCACAGGGACCTGTCAGGAAAGCAGAACTCAACTAGCCGAATGAAAACCAGAGCTGGGCTTTAAATAGTACAGAGTAAACATTGAATATGGAACACGACGCTGGTGAGAACATTAGCATTTGCGCCTAGAAGCTCCAAGAGCAGTGCAGAGGGGTCCCCGAGACGGAGCGGACGGGACGCGTCGACACGAAGCTCTGAGGAGATCAACTCCAACCTCCACTGGATCATCTCGTGGCACGCCCAACATTGGTCTGGAACAAATGGGTACGATATCCAAAAACAACATCTGTCCAGAATCGACAGCGGCCGCTGTTGTGCAGGCGACTTTGGGTATGGACAACGTCCGCGGCGATACCGACACTGAATGCTGTTCGAAATGGACAAAATCTGTCGTCGGCCTTCGTACCCATTCTGTCTTTACCCATGTCGATCGTACCGAATCTCCTCCAGTCGGGAAGTTTAGCTTAGCGTGTCACCATGGCGGCCCCGGCGAAACGATCTCGCTTGTGAGTGGATAGCGTGTCGCTGCGCTCCGCGGGGCGGGAGGTTCGGAAAAGCTCGGGACGTTAAAGCCCACGGGCCAACGAGTGGATTTCGTGTCGCATTGAAGCGTGGTGGGCCAGAACCGGCGGAGCGCCACGCTAACTAAGTCTGACAGTACACATCACCTCTTGGCGGCGCACACAGGCGTGTAGGGGGAGGGTGACGGCTTCTTGGAAGGAGGCTGCTTCGTAGAAGGCGCCAGCCTTACATCTACAGCTAAGGCCTGCGCCTTCTAAGAAGCAGGAGAGTTTCCAAGAAGCCCTCCCCCCTCCCCCCACCACCCTCCACGCGTGGCTGATTCATACCAGACAGCCTGGTCGGCAGCGCAGGAGGGAGGAATAGCAGAGCGTGAAAGGGCCTGCGCCGGCCAGGGGCCGGGAGGCGGGTCCTTCGGCTGCTGGGCCAGCTGCTTGTGGCCGTGCCTCGGTCGGGGGCGGCGGCCACCAGCCGCAACGAGGAGGAGGAGGAGGAGGAGGAGGAGGAGGAGGAGGAGGAAAAGGAGAAGGAGGAGGAGGACGAGGAGGAGGAGGAGGAGGAGGAGGAGGAGGAGAAGGAACGTTTTTGGAACGTTCTGCAACGCACGAGGTGCAGGGCAGGGAAAAGAGAGGAAGAAGGCGGGGGACCGAACCGCCCGTCACACCCGTACCTGCTGACCGCAGGCACGTACGCCCAGCTCTCTCGGCCCCTCAGAACGGACGGCGCGGGAGGTGCGCCCAAGAGCGTGCGAGTGACGGTCTTCGATCGCCGCCAGGCCGCCAATGGGGCCCTTCTCAGCCTGACCTGGAGCAGCTGCCATCTGGAACTGACAAGCTGGGGCCAGACGCCTCCCTGCGAAGCGGCAAGGTGATGCTCCTGAGCTGAGACGCTTCCAGGGTGGGCGCGGGCGCCGCCGCCTCCGACGGAGACGAACAGGCGCGGCCCGGCTGTCAGCGCTGGGCAGCAAAGTGGCTCGAGTGGCGCACGCACCCACGACCCGAGCATGCAAGAACTCACGTGCCGCTCCAGCCAGCCGAGAATAACTGGAATACAACAGCTTCCGAATGAAGCCGAGATTCTGCGCTCCTGTGCGTGAGGAAGGTGAGCACACACTGGCAAACTGGCGACCATCAACGACCGCGGTGCGACCGCACCGAAAACAAACATTAGGAGGCAACTACTGGGAGGTTTTCATCGGAAAGATTGAGGAGAATTGAGCCCCATTTGGGAGCTGTTACGCCAGAGTGGGCCTCGGACTAAGCAGGATCAAGCCGGAATAAGCGGGAGTAGGCGGGATCAAGCCGGATTAAGCGGGATCAAGCTAGATTGAGCCGGATTTCGGACCAGGGCGAAAACATAATTTGACCTCCCAGGAGTTGCATCCGAGCAGACATCAAGATTGCGGGCGCCCCAGATGGCCAGGGAATGGGAAGGGTCGAGAGCCGCACCGCCGACTTTCATCGGTCCCTGGGCCGCCACAGCCACACCCCTGGAACAGCCCCGAAGCACAGCAGACGGAGGTCCGCACGCGGATCCGAGGGCCTCCAGGCAGGCTTTCCCTGGAACGCTGAACCGCACTTCTGGCAACAGGAGGCTTCGCCTACAGGTGAGAACTTCTGCGCGCTAGAACTCGCGGCTAACTTAGAACCTTTCCTGGGGAGGTCAACCCCGCGGCGGTTCGCTCCCTCTTGGGGTCACCGACCGCGGCGTCGGGAAGCGCCTTTCGAACTCTTCGTCGAACTAGAGCTGCTGTGAAGTCCCAAGCGTCAGTCTGGGGTTCGGAGGTGACCGACAAACGCCAGGATCTTGCGGCGGGCTTGCCCGTTGCCTCATCGGCAAATTGATTTCCGATAGCAGAAAGCCGTTCATGCTCAGAGGACCTGGAGCGTCGACTGCGACGTGCGACGGAGCCCACTCAACCGTGACCTGCGAATGCCACGAGCGTCCAGAACGCAACGGATGCGCAGCCACAAGTCGCAGTGGCCTCCAGGAACAGGCAAAGGCCTGGAGCTCCGAGTGAGGTGCCATTTGGTAGGACCTCTGAGGATCTCAAAAACGCAGGCCTGAAAGCACCGGCCTGAAAGCCCTTCTGCGGGCTCCGATGGCCGGAGGGCAACAACCGCTGACCCGCATATGCGACGGCGCGGGACCGAAGAACAATGGCCTCCAGCACCGCCTCCGAAGCTAAGGGAGGCTCCGAACCTGCACACAGCCAGCACCCGCGAAGAGAGCTGAAGCCCGAGGTGCTCCCGATGAGCTCCTCACGGGATGTCGCGAAAACTGGAGGAGTGAGCCCCACAGGAGGGGCCCCTCGGAGCCAAGGGGAAGGCCAGGAGTCATGCGAAAGGCTGGAGCCTGAGAGGCCAGTCTTACCGCCCCCCCGCAGTCAGTACGACCCTCCTTGCACGGGCAGCGCCAGACTCGGTGGCAAAGATGCCCGCGGATATAGATGATCCTGGCGAAGGGCCCAACCATCTGCGAATGCGAGCACCGCAAGGCAGGTGGGACGAAAGAGGGGAAGCTCCCTGTGGGGCCAAGAACCGTGCGAGGAGTGTGTCGAAATGGGTGCGGGTGCGGCATGCGGCTACGCATCGTGTGAGGGGTGTGCCGAAATGGGTCCGCGGGCGCAATGCGGACCCTGCAACTGGAGCCTTCGGTGGAGCTCCCCATGGCAACTGGAGCCTTCGGTGGCGGCCACGCAACGTGTGAGGGGTGTGCCGAAATGGGTGCGGTTGCGCCATGCGGACCCTGCCACTGGGGCCTTCGGTAGAGCTCCCTATGGGACCACGAACCGTGTGATGGGTGTCCCGAGATGGGCGCGGTGGCGCCATCCGGACCCTGACGGCCACGAAACGTGTGATGGATGTCCCGAAATGGGTGCGGTTGCGCTATGCGGGCCCTGCCACTGGGGCCTTCGGTGGCGCTCCCTCTAAGGCCACGAACCGTGTGAGGGGTGTGCCGACATGACTGCGGTGGCGCCATGCAGACCCTGCGGGCCACGAAACGCGTGAGGGGTGTCCAGAAATGGGCGCGGTGGCGTCATGCGGACCCTGCCACTGGAGCCTTCGGTGGAGGTCCCTCTGGGGCCACGAGCCGTGTGAGGGGTGTGCCGAGATGGGTGCGGTGGCGCTATGCTGTGGCGCTCCCTATGAGGCCTTCGTGCGCGTGGTGCCCCGACATGGACACGGGATGGCGAGGCAGGAACGGAATGCCGATGGTGATGGTGATGGTGGTGATGGTGATGATGATGATGATGATGATGATGATGATGGTGGTGGTGATGATGATGATGGTGGTGATGATGATGATGATGATGATGATGCTGACCATGAGGATGATGATGATGATGATGATGATGACAATGCTGACCATGATGATGATGACGATGATGATAATAATGATGATGATGATGATGATGTCGATGCTGATGATGATGATGATGATGATGATGATGATGATGATGATGATGATGTCGATGCTGATGATGGTGATGGTGATGGTGATGGTGATGATGATGATGATGCTGATGATGATGCTGATGATGATGCTGATGATAATGCTGATGATGATGACAATGACTATGAGGACGCGGAATGGCAGGAGGGAGGAGAGGGAGGAGGAAGGAATGAGGAACGCGAGGCGCCGTCTCTCCAAAACGAAGACCCAACACCACAAGATGCTTGGGAACAACTCCTCATCCTCCTCCTCTTCCTCCTCCTCATCCTCCCAATCCATGTCCTCCTCATCTGCACTACCTTCCTACCGTTAACCTCCGCTTCCCCATCCTCTCCCAATCGCCCTCCCCTACTCCTGCTGCTGCTGCTCTTCCTCATCCTCCTCCTCCGCCGCCTCCCCCTCTCGCCCTAGCCCTCTTCCTCCCACTCCTCCACCCTCCGTGTCTGAGCTCCCTGCGCGAATCGGCACTTCTCGCCGTTGCGGCACCGCCCCTTGGCGTTCCAGATGCAAAGCACCTTGCGGTAGAACATGTCCGTTGAGCGGAGCTCCTCCTGGTGGGGGGGGCTGGGATGCCTCTTCAGAGAGCAGAGGCCAAGAGGGTGGGAGGAACGGGTGAAAGGGAGGAGAGGGGAGGAGGGGGAGGATTATGATGATGAGGAGGATGAGGATGATGATGCGAAGCGTGAGAGAGAGAGAGAGAGAGAGAGAGCGAGGTCTCCAGATCAGCTGGAATGTAAACGGCGCTGAACGCTGCACGATGTCATTACTGTACCCGTCGTGTGCACAACGACGAGGAGGTGGCGGAGGAGGAGGAGGAGCAGGAGGCGGGGGAAGATGGGGAAGAGGTCGAGTGAAAGGGGAAGACGGGCCAGGAAGAGGACCAGGCGCACTCACGCGCAGCAGGGGGGCGCCTTCTAGCCAGCCGCCTAAAAAGCGCGTATGCCAGGAGCGAGCAAACCGTTGCACCCTTCTCGCAGTGGGTCTTCAGGATGCCGTATCCCCGAGCCCGGGGTGCCCATCGACCTGCCGAGGCGGCCGCGGGGCAGGAGCAAACCGACCACGAACACGACGACCGCGAGGATGCCGACGAGGCAGCAAGTGGTCCTTCGGAAGGCCATGCCTCGGAGGCGACGATAGGGGCGAATAGCCCAGGGGAGAGCAACACATGTATCCAGGGGCGCCGATGATCTATGTCTTCGGCAAGGCGCCCAGACGAATACGTGTAATGCCCGCCCCTGGGTTATTCGCCCCTGTCGTCGCCACCGAATGCCCCGAGCTGGGGCGAGGTCATCGCCCAGCCGGGGCGCCCGAATACAATGTGCACGCTGACCACGAGCACGACGCCCGCAAAAAGCTAGCAGTTCGCCGAGGGGAGTGCCGCACCACGAAGCCGGGACGCTCGGCGACTCGTCTGAATTTCGCGTCGCATTTGTCCGCGGCTGCGGTCCGAGTTGGCATGGGGCGTGATCTGCTTCCCCGTGACCGCCACTGCAGAAAATATCCTCCACTGACAGTCTGTCCTGAGAGCCCGAGCGAGCGCCGTTGCGCGCGGGGTGACCACTTGAATTCTGCCATAGAGCCGCGCGGGAAAACGTGTAGCTGGATCGGCGCCCACCAGTGCAGCCTGACTCCTGCTTTTCGAAACCATTGTTGAAAAGCTCCTTGAACAGCTGATAAGGGATAACATCTCGGCCGCCCCAATAGAGAAAACGGATGGGTCGGGCTTGCGATCAAAGCCGGCACTGTTTTGCACTGGTACTTCGGCTTCGGCTATGGCGAAACCCTTGTTATCTCGTCAACGGCGGCACGATGCCGATCTTGCTCTGCTCCCTGTTTTGCGATGCGTCGCCGAAGTTCGGCCACCTCCGATTCAACAACATCATGTCTGGATAACCGCTGTAACACTTCTGGATAACCGCAGCAAAAGTACGCGCCGCCGTAGAATTTGAATTCAGCCATGGTCGTAGCCACACGATGGCTGAGCTAGGCCGAGACGTCTTCAGCGAAAGGCTGTACAAACGGCGGCCCAGCAGCTGATCCTCGCTCTTGCCTTTCCCCAACGGGGGAGGAAGCAGCAGCAGCCGAGCGCCAGGGATCGGCGCCCTGGAGAGGGTCTTTGGTAGCTGCGGCCGCTGCCGCAGCACCGCCTGGCTCTCTGGCACGCTCGTTGTCCTCGTCAAAGGGTGGGCGCGTCCTCAAGCTCACATGCGAACTGGTCGAGGCTGAAGTGTTGAGGCAGGGCGCGTCGCGCAGCGAAGTTCTCAGTGGACGCCGAGGGGTATGGCGCGGTAGACTCACCACGGAGATGTTGAGGCTAGCCAGATGAAGAGGAATCTCCAGGTCGCCCCTGCGAGATCCCATCAGCTGCGACGTCTCGTATCTCACCTCGGTGTCCTTCACCGCGCCGAACGGATGTGCAAGCGGGGCCAGGAGCGGCGTTGACGTACAGCCGGACTTCATTGGAGAGGACACGCGAGAGGACACAAGACCCTTCCGAGGACCACGTTGCCACAGTAATGTAGAAGGCATGCGTCGCGAACGCACAGGGCACAGGAGCGCCCTGGGTTTCGCAGGGTCGACCTGCTCATCTGGCTCGACTGCAGTCCGCCAGAGGGGCCGCCCCAGGTACCGGAGGAGTCGGGAGCGGCCAAGAGGGGGGTGTCCAAGAGGGGGGGGTGCAAATCATGACCGGCGGCATGTGCGCGGCCCAGCGGGGGGGGGCCAGGGACGTAATGAAATGAGAAGAGGCGCCATAAAATCTGGGGAAATGTCATGGCCCCCGCCATGATATCCCCCCCCCTAGTCATCAACCCCCTCTTTTCCGCCCCCGACGGAGGAGCGAGGAGCACAAGCTTGATGCCGAGCCGGTCAGCCTCTTTCATTGGCAGCGCGGTGGCCACGTGCCATCGCTCGGACGTCCATTCCCTGTGTTTTTTCGGTTTCGTGCGTGGTTCTTTCGCCAAATGATCAAGGATGCTCCTCGACTGTCCTCGCCGAGAGAAAAAATGCACACGTCCGAGCGATGCCAAGCAGCGCGGTGACCACGTCCAGGCCCTCGACGTGCGGAGTCGTAGTCAGGCTTGGCCCGGCGGGCGCCTCGGCCGCCGCGGCGCCGGTGCTGCGGTCGCCGACGGAGAGCTCGTCGGCGAGGGCGCTGGCCACGGTGGCGCCGGTGCGCGGCATGGCGTCGACGACGGGGGAAGCAGAATCTCAAAGAGCACATCGGCGTAGAGCAGGAAGAGTGGCAGCTGCTTGACGACGGAGAGCTCGTCGGCGAGGGCGCTGTCCATGGAGGCGCCGGTGCGCGGCATGGCGTCGGCGACGGGGGAAGCAGAAGCTAAAAGAGCACGTCGGCGTAGAGCGGAAAGAGTGGCAGCTGCTTGGCGTTCTTATATGGGGACCGCGCGCGAGGGCGAGGCACGGCGAAAGGATCAGCTCAGCCGTCGCGAGGGAGAGGGAAGCCGAAGAGGCGCGCAACGTATGCCAGCTCAACCCCGAGTGGTGCTGGGAATGGCTGGGGCCTTTCTGCGGCCCAGCGGTCTCCATGTGGCCGCACAACGACATGGAGACTTGCGCCAAAATGGCTACGGAAGAGGAGGGGGAGGAGGAACGAGGAGGAGGAGGAACGAGGAGGAGGAGGAGGAGAAATACGGAGGACAGGGACGAGGAGGAGGGGAAGACGGAGGAGGAGAAGACGGAGAAAAAGGAGGAGGACAAGGACGAGCAGGAGGAGGAGGAGGAGGAGGAGGAAGGGAGGAGGGGGGGAGGGGGGGAACAGGGTCGACCAGCCACGGGAGGCGGTGCACAGACTGGAGCTCCACCCAAATGCTCGCTCTCCGTCGTAATTGCGCCAGGCACGCTGAGGACAGGAGGTCAGGGCTGTAGTCCCCATGTCGCCCAGGAACCTCTAGGGCGAATGGAGGTACACCGCTGCTTTGAGTTAAGAAATGTTACGTAGCACCCCGAAGATGCGGATAAGAGTGATGGGGCAGTGGGGACGTCGGCAGTCTGCGAGACTCTGGAGGAGCCCGCCGCAGTCGCCAAGGTTTCACAAGTTATACAGCAAACCCGCCGCAGGCGCCGATGTTTTCGTTAAGCCAATGTGGGCAGGTCGCGGGTGGGTCGCGGGTGGGTCGCGGGTGTAGAGGGCAGAAACTCCCCCCCACGCACACGAGGAATGAATCGAACAGGGCAGGGCTGTTTAGTCAACGCTCAGGGCCGTCTAGTAAACGTCAATTGTCGGGTCCGGGTGGTTTTTCCTCCCTCGAGGGTCGGTCGCGGGGTGGGTCGCGGGTGGGTCCCAGGGTGGGTCGCGTGTGGGTCGCGGGTGGGTCGCGGATGGGTTGCGGATGGATCGCGGGTGGGTCGCGGTGTGGGTCGCGGGTGGTCGCAGGGTGGGTCGCGGGATGGATCGCGGGGTGGGTCGCGGGTGGGTCGCGGGGTGGGTCGCGGGATGGGTCGCCGGATGGGTCGCGGGGTGGGTCGCGGGAGGGTCGCCTGTTGGGTCGCGGGATGGCTCGCGGGGTGGGTCGCGGGATGGGTCGCGGGGTGGGTCGCGGGGTGGGTCGCGGGGTGGGTCGCGGGGTGGGTCGCGGGTGGGACGACGACAAGAAACATTAAAACAAACAAACAAACAAACAAACACAACAACAACATCCACCACCACCACCACCACCACCACCACCACCACCACAACAACAACAACAACAACAACAACAACAACAACAACAACAACCACCACAACAACAACAACACAACAGCAACACCACCAACAACAACAACAACAACCACAACAACAACACCAACAACAACAGCAATAACAACAAAAAACAACACCACCACCAACACCAACACCAACAACAACAACACCAACACCAACAACAACAACCACAACAACGACAACGACGACAACAGCAACAACAACAACAACGACAGCAACACCAGCAATAACAATAACAACGACAACAACAACACCAAGAACAACAACAACAACACCAACAACAACAGCAGCAATAACAACAACAACAACACCACCACCAACACCAACACCAACAACAACAACACCAACACCAACACCAACAACCACAACAACGGCAACGACAACGACAACAACAACAACAATTACAACAACAACAACAACAACACCAGCAATAACAACAACAACGACGACAACAACAACAACGACAACAACGCAACAAGCAGAATTCGCACCACGATTTCCTCATTCAACCACTTACCCAGGGACAATGAATGACCGTTCGCCCCCCTCAATCTGACGCTAAGACAATGCCCTTCACTCCAAGCGTGTTCTTCAAAAGTAGCCCAGATTCAGAGATACGAAAGTTCTACGAACAAAGAGACTCCAAGAAAACGCCCATGCTCCGGTCGAGATGTTCGATTCCCGAAGAGACATGAGGAGCCCATACAAGTCGATGTTTGTTCCTAAGACGCCTGCTGGTTGTAGGCTAAATCGACTGGGACAGAGACTTAATCCTACCACGAACCAGCCCATGTAGGGAGGACCTGCTGGGTTACATATAGTGGCCCTTGTCAGCCTGGCTCGGGGACTGCCCAGGTGGCTGGCAGGGTCGCTAGTGGCAGGCAGCGTGAAGCGCGTGGCTGGTCAGCATCGCTCGAATCTGCTCGAACCCTCCTCCTCGTCCCTCCATCAATATTCGCTTCCATGTCTACACATCCCCCTACTGCCCCCTTACGCCCCCCTCTACTCCCCCCTCCCACGCCTCTTCCTCCTGCGTTTCCTCCAAGTCTTCCTCCTCATGCTATTAGTCCTCCTTCCCATCCACCCCATCCACTTCTTCCTCATACTCGTCCTCTTCATCCCCATGCACAACGGTTCGTGTACCCGCTCTTCCCTATCGTCCGTCAGATATCGGGTTATGGTTATCCTTGCCATTCCTCCTCATCCTTCCTCCTTCCCGCCCCCTCCCTACTTCGCTCGCACGAGCGCTGATTATTACAATGCCGACGTTGCGCGAGCAAGCCTTCCCTCGCTCCTCCCTCGCATGCTTTTCCTCGCACATCCCTCGCCGCGGCCATGTTCCTGCATCCTCCCTCGCGAGTCCTCCCCGTGCGCAAAAGTGCAGTTGGCGTCGTCGCAGCGGCCCTCCTCCGCGAACGGGACGCACAACCTGCGCGCCGGGCACATGCCCCGACAGGGCGCTCCCGCTCCCCCCGCCCTCCCCCCTCCCCCTCCCTCGGCCTCTCCGCCTGCGGACCACCCTACAGGAAGAAGGGCAACACAGACATCAACTTTCGGAGCTCCGCGCGGGTTTCTCTGGATCTGCGCTGCCCCCCCTCCCCGACGGCGCCTCCAGCGACGCCCCTGGCCCGCGCCGCGCGCCGGGGAATGGGGAGGGTCTGGCGCCGATGCAAAAACTCCTCGCAGACCTCCTTCCTTAAGTTTCTGTGGACGCCTTTTTTGTTCTGCTTCGATCCCTCCTCCCTGACTCCCTTATATGCCATGTAGGGTGCGGACCAGCGACGCGAAACCGCACGCGCATTGGTCAACGCCCGGCTCCTCCTTGACCCCTCGTTCCTGCTCCCTCCTCCATCCCATCTCCTGCCATATCACGCATCAAAGGAAGAGAGAGAGAGGGAGAACAAACAAAAAACACAGAGAGAGATGTCCCTAGATCACCTTTCTGGGGGGAGGGGCCATCGGCGAGGAGCGTGTTGTCACATCACCATCGGCCTGACCGCCCCTCTGTCCAGGGCCGAAGGCCTGGCTGCAGGCCCCCTCCTCCCTTAGTCCGTGCGACGGGGCGGACGGAGCCACACGAGCCGTGGAGCACCACACACACAGACACACACACACACACACACACACACGCAAACACGCACGCACGCACACGCACAGACACGCACACACACACAGACACACACACACACACACACACACACACACACACACACACACACACGCACGCACGCACGCACGCACGCACGCACGCACGCACACACACACACACACACACGCACACACACACACACGCGCACGCGCGCACGCACGCACGCACGCACGCACACTTTCCACTTTTTGGTCGTCGCGGGTGGGCGATTGGCCACACCGTCAGACGCGCCGCGCAAGCCGAGGGCCCGCGCGGGCGTCTTACGAGGTAGTGGTCGGGCTCGGCGCAGGGGCGCTGGGGTAGCAAGGCAGACACACGCGCGCACACACACACAAAAACAAACAAACAAACAAACAAACAAACAAATAAACAAACACATAAACATCTCCAGATCCTTCGTGATCGCAGCCTCCGTTCGCATCCCTCCCCGCCGACGCCGCCTGGTCTTGCTGAGGTCGGGCGCCC